CCTAACCCTAACCCCTCAAAACCCCTAAAACCCTTACCTTAACCCTAACCATAATCTCAAAACGGTGGAACTGCACATGCGCAGAAAGGCTCGATAGCACGTCTCGATAGGTAGTATTTTTCGACAGAACACCGGTATGCATAAAACTTCTCAGAGTAAAATTTCACTCTTAAATGCGTCACAATTCTAAGAGTGACGTGATTTTGCTCCTACTCCCAGACTTAAGAATAAGTGGCATAAACATTCTTAAGTGTTAAGAGTAGGTCACAGCTCCTAAATTATTTAAGAGAGCCGGAGAGGACTCCTAAAACAGTTAGCAGTTGCACAACGGCAGCAGCACTAAGCGCACGAAAACGGAGACCGCGCACTTTCCCTGAAAGAAAGGGCGTACTGCAGACGTCCGACAATAATGAATTGATAAAAAGGTACAGGCTCAATCATGAGGGCATACTTTTTGTTACCAACCTAATTAGGAACCGGATACAATCTCCTACGTCACCTAAAAATGCACATACAGTTGAACTGAAGGTGATAATGATGCTACGTTTTTGGAAACTGGAAAAATATAATAATAATAATTATTATTCATCATCTATTATAGCGAGGGTCATAAGACCAATATAAGTAATGACACAAACCTGTAGCTTGCATGCTTGCTTTATAAACTGTGATTTCCTTTCGCGAGGTCGATAAAAAATTATACCACCTTTTTTCACATTCCTCTGCTGAACGCTTTGTCCGAGGTGACGCAGCATTTATGGAGCTTGCAATAGCCCCCTAAGCGTTTTTGTCCGTGCTTGTAACAGCTGGGCCAAACTTTCCTCGCACTACCTCCTTCCATTTAAGCACCAACTGTGCCAAAAGAACCGTTTTGTTTGTCGTCCAGTTTGTTTTTCTTTTAGAATTCAATGTCTTGCTATGAGTTTTGCGTTTGACCCATAATTTATACAACATGTGCATCTATTCGTGGAAATTGATTGGTGGTGTGCTAGGTAGATTTTCGTACAACCATGCAATTAAAGGTATGATCACAGAAAGGTATGTTGTATAAAGCTGCACATTAACGGTTTAATGTCACTAATATATTCACCGTGCAGCTTCTCTATTGGTTGAACTCAGTATTTGGGGCGGGATTTTATTTGTAGTCCTCATTTCACAACACTTAAATGCTGGCTCCGGCAGCACTTAGGAATTGGGCTTAGACTTTGCTGAAAGTTACTTTTAGCAGATTTATACAAGGCTCTAAGCTCCTACTTTTTGCTAAGTTTTTGTTTACTCTTAAGTCCAAGTGTACGACCATTCTTAAGACCATTCTTAGGACGTTTTATGCATACCGGCCCAGGTCTAATTTCACTTTGGGGGGACTATGTTCCAAATCCAGCACACTTTTTAATGATATCGATGCTTTTTTGATATGTGGCACTTTAAAGAGCATTATTAGAATGTACTTGGCTAAGTTTGAAACTGACACAATCCTTTATATTTGTGTTATGGATACACATTTGACCTAGTTCCAAACCCAGCAAACTTTTTGATGACGCTTACTTTTATGAAGCAAAATATGCCATAAAATTTTGTGCACTTCTCATACTTTTTCATTTTGGATGGTTAAAATTTATTATTATTATTTATTATGATAAAATTTGGCGATGTAAGTATAATATATCGCAGCACTATTTATTATTCTTGCATATAATTGACCATTAAATGCATTCAACGCGCATGAAAACTGAACGTTCATTTTGACACAATAAGTGGAACTAGCAACCGGAAGTCTCCCCCTTCTTCTTGCCAGCTTCACACTTCTCTATTTAGTGTAGAAGTTGGAGTCGGTTTGAGCAATCTTAGTAAATATGCTTATTAGACTATGATTACTATAAATAATCATTTTGATTTACTACTCCAATTCATCATGAAGATTTCACTCTGATACTTTTGTGTTTACAACAACGCAACAATGTTGCAAAGCGCTATTGTTTGACGTGGCCGCCAGCGAAAGATACCCAGCGTCCTTCTCAAACTGAAATTCTAGGTAGGCCTCAACTTTTATTTTCAACCGATACATTTATAAATATTATCCTTTCTCAAATTTGCAGGCGTGTATTTGTTGGAAAATGCATGCATTATGCTATATTTGCCTCGCTTTGAATTTAACAGTCAGTATTTGGCATTCAGGTAATGCTTTTTTTCATTCTGATGAATAATAAGTAAGTACTAATAAAAGCAACAATATTAGAAAGGCCCCATAAAGCTAAAAAATACTCAAGGCATGTTGCAGCAGTTCAGACAGGTGTGTTTCTCTTTTTATTACTTGAACTATTGACTTGGGTCTCTTTAGGAGGTGTTAACAGTTGTAAATCAAGATAAGATGACATTTAGGGTGTTTTTTATGGCTGCAGTGCAAGCACACATCTGTGAAAATTCCATTGTTTCCTTTTTTCTTTTTTTTTCTTTGTCTTTATTTTAAATTAAGGT